TTGCTCCTTTGAAGGAAATCAGTCTTTTTTGCTGTGGTTGCTTTTAAGATTTCTCTCTCTCTTTGCTTTTTTAGCAGCTTTATTATGATGTACTTAGGTGGGGATTTCTTTAATTTGTTGTCTATGGAGATTCTTGAATTTGTGGCTTGATATCTTTCATCAGTTCTAAACCATTTTCACACATTTTCTCGTCTGTCCTATTCTTTTTTTTGTCCTCTTCTCTGGGATTTCCTCTCACTGCATCCTGTATGTCCTTGGTACTCAGTATGTGGTCCATGGATCATCAGCAGCATCACCTGGGGGGAGCATGTTAGAAATGCAAAATCTCAGGTTTCACCCTAGACCTACCAAATCAGAATCTGAATTTTAACATGATCCCCAAGTGATTTGTATCACATATTAAAGTTTAAGGTCACTTTTCTATGTCTCTTACATGCTTTTTAAAATTTTCCATCCATATGTCTTTCTGTGCTTCATCTGGATATCCTTCCAGCCTATCTTCCAATTCCCTAGTTATCTCTTCAGCTGTGTCTAATGTGTTATTAAACCCAACTACTGAGTTCTTAATTTCAGGTATTAGTAGTTTTTTCCCCTAGATTTTCCATTTGGTAGTTTCCAATTCTCTTAAGTTTTCAATCTTGTCAAATATAATTATCTTAAAGTCCATGTTTGAAATTCTTGTGAATGTGTTTCTCTTGTCTGTCTTTTTTTTCTTTCCTTCTGGCTTTTGTTCATGTTTTCCCCACTATTTTTTATTGTATGCCAAACACAGCATTTGCAAAATTGTCTGTAGAAATAATTTGAGGCTTCAGGTGATGTTATCTTTGTATAGAGAGGATTCATATTTGCTTCTGATAGGCAGCTGCATTCTGGACACTAACAATCTGGGGTCCAGGACTGAGGTGATCTGAAGGTGAGCTGTCTACTTTTGATCCACTTTTACTCCTGGTGGGCTGTCCTTTAACTCAAAGCGAAGGGGGGTTCACCAGACAGATCCACACACCCTGGCAGGCCTGACCCCCAATCCAAGTCTTTCCAGTACTGTTCAGCTTCTCAGCCATTGCCTCCAGATTCAGCACATGTTCCCAGGGAAGGAGAGCTATTCCAAATGTCAGGCTCACCTTCTGGGCTTCTATTTTCCCTTAGATTCTTGGCCAGTGATTCTTCACTCTTCTTCCAGCTCTCTGATACATTCAAGCAATTGTTTCGAAAACTATGTTATCCAGATTTCCTGGCTGTCCTCAGCAAGAAGGAGAGTGGGTTTGAGTGACCTCGTTTGCCAGTACTGGAGGTGGAACGCCTCTGATCTGTTTCTCTAAACTTGGATGCCCCTTGTCATCCTCACTGCTGCTGCCCTGGTACCGAACTTCCTCATCTCTGCCTGGACAGGTTCTAATGGGTCTCTGTGACACTAGTTCTTACTCCCCAACCCCTGCGTGCAAAGGTAACAAGAGTTAACTTCCTAAAACATGGGTCTGGTCGTATCTCTTGCTCAGTTAAATATCTTTAAAGTGGCCTAAAATCCTACTCCACTCTGCACTGGGATGCCATGTGCCTAGGCTGGGCATTCCCAGGGCAGGTGAGGAGTGGGCAAGAGGCTTTGTTGTCTCATGGACAGAGTCCAGCCAAGCCAGCCTGAAACCAAGCTTGGACCAAGAGATCTGGACTTAGTAAATGAACTCTAATTTACATGTTTGCATTTGTCTTTTTATTTCTTTTGCTTTTTTTCTAAACTTCATGATATTTTTTTCCCTTTGGAAAGGGGTCACAGTGTTTTCAGATTAGGGTATTTGCCCAAGCTCCCGCAGCAGGGCAGGAATTAGAACACAGACCTGTCGGCTTTCCACGCCAACTGAGTAATAACTTAGTAACTTCCATCTATAGAGGGGAGAGCTGGTGGAGCCGGGGCGGCTGTGGTGGACAGGCAGAGTGGGCAGCCTACCCCTGCCGTTCCTTCCTACTCCTTGCAAACAGAACCTCACGTGTGTGGAGGTCCCCATGCTCCTCCACACTTCAGCTGTCGTTATCACTTACACCAGAGGGTACCACGTGCTTGGGGGGAGTCGGCCATGATAAGTCCATTTCCCCTTTGGTGATTGGCTTAGCAAGAGGCATGTGGCCCCCTTCTGGCCAATGGGAGATAAGGACAAGTCAGTTGAGGGGGATTCTGGGAAAGGTTTCTGTCACTACAGGAGAAGCTTGCCCACAGGGGAGACTAACTGCTTCTCCTCACTCTGCACTGCTGGTGCAACGCCCGAGGCTGCAGCCATCTGGAAATCGAGGGGGACGTGCTGAGGAAGGCAGAGCAGAGAGGAGGGAGCCACTGACTTAAGAGGCCCTGGAGCTGCCCTACGCACGACTGCCTGTTGTGTGCTTATATCTGCTTTCGTCAGGCCTTCTGTTACTCACAGCCAAAAGCTTCCTAACAAGTACGTAGTGTGGTGGAAGTACAGAGGCTATGGAGACAGGAAAGCCTGGATTTGCCACCTATTAGCTGAGTGGCATTCGGAAAGTAACTTTAGCTCTCGAGGCCTCAGTTTTATCACCTGTAAAATGGAAATAATACCCACCTCACAGGGCTATCGGGAAGGTTTAATCATGCTATGTCAGCACATCACACACACGTTAAGTCAGGACTGCTGGTCTGGATGAGACTTCATCTGACACAAGGTTCTTTGTGGCCTAGGCTTCCCCTTGGAGGCGCTGACACCCCATCTGAAGCAGTCATCTCTCAGGGGCCATAAAGCAACTACCATTTGCTAGTACTTGACATTTTAGAATAGATTTTATGGTTATCTTGCTGCTTCCCTTTCTTGTTTTTTTGAGACAGTCTCACCCTGTCACCCAGATAGGATGCAGTGGCTTCAGCCTAGCTCACAGCAACCTCAAACTCCTGGGTTCAAGCGATCCTCCTGCCTCAGCCTCCCCGAGTATTGGGACCACAGGCATGCCCACCCATGCCCCGCCCTAATTTAATTTTTTTTTTTTTTGTAGAGAGGGGGTCGCTCCTTGTTTGCTCCAGGCTTTCTTGGAACTCCCTGACCTCAAGCGACTCCTCCCTGCTTTCAACCTCCCAAAGTCGCTAGACGTACAGTGTCGAGCTACAAGTGCCCAGCATCTATCTTGCTTTTTTTTTTTTTTTTTTTTTGAGACCAGCAAGTCTCACTTCTGTGGCTCATCGCTGACGTGAGTGCGCGTGCGCGTCAGCCTAGCTCACAGCAACACCCAAACTCCTGGACTCCCAGTGATCCTCCTGCCTCAGCCTCCGAGTAGCTGGGAACTACAGCGTGCGGCACACCATGCCCGATTAACTTTCTTGTCAATAATACTATGCATTTGCTTTGGTTCCAATAATTATTTCTATTTTTAGTAGCAAGACGGGCGCGTCTCCGCTCGGCCTGGGTTTCCGAACTCCTGACCTCGCGAGCGATCCGCCCCGCCTCGGCCTCCATCAGAAAAGTGCTAGGACTAACAGGCGTGAGCCACTGGCATCCCGCCCATTTAAATCTGCCTCTTAATGACTTGATTGGCGACACCCTCCCACCAATTTCAACCATGAGGAAAACTGAGCCTCGAGGGGGCTACAGTGACTTGCCCGCAACATGGCTGGGCTTGGGGCCAATCGCGCTTCCTGACTTCGTATCCACAGCCCGCCTTTCCCCACCGCTGTGCGCCCGACCGCCTGAATGCTGGGGCGCGGTGCCCCCCGGGCCTGGCTCCTGTAAACTGTGCCCGTTCCCGGTGCCGGCCCCATAAATGGCTTCTGGTGAGGGCAGAAGGCCCTCCTCCTGCAGGGAGGGACCGGTGCTCCCTGGACCTCGGGGTCCCTCCGCCAGGGCTCCACCCTCCCGGCAGTTGAGAACATTACAAGCGAGAGGGTGCATGACAGCACAACCCACAGCAAGCCATGGGCAACAGGACCGCTAGGGACCAGGGTTATACAACAGCATGGAAGCCAAGAAGGGTGCCATCAGCGTGGACCCTAGAAACACCGACGGGACCCAGCGCTCGGCGCCCCATCTCAGCTCAGCCCCACCCGAGAGCAGGTGGCCTTGCCGAGCTGTCCCAGGCAAAGCCGTGATGGGAGCGATTAAGTACAGGAAAACGTAGGGCAGGCACAGGTGGTAAATATTCGAATGCTCAGAGCTTAATGGGGGTGGGGGAGGCTTGGGCTGGGGGCAGATTAAGTCCAAGCTGGGAGCTGGTCCAGCTTGCCGGGCCGCTGGGCTGCCACTGGCCTTCTCCGAGTAGCTCCTTTTTCCAGACACCTCCGTGACAGAATTGTTTGAGTAGCGATCTAGACCCTGGGTGTCTTATTCTCTTGAGAAACCTGCAGGCTGAGTGGGGGGGGAAGGAACGCCAAACGGGCCTACTGTGCCTCAGTGCCTTCATGTAACCGGCCACCTTCACAGCAAACCTCCCTCCTCCAACCAACAGAGCACTGGCTCAGGACGTTCATTAAGAAACAGTCGTAAGTGATGGGCTTTGCGCGGGGTGGGAAAGAAGTGGCCATGGGCTGGTCAGGCAGGGCCCAGGGCCTGTGCAGCGGTTCACACCAGCACAGCCGGTCGCTCCATGGGCTGTAGGTGTTCAGCAGGGAAGGCGCCCCCCTGGACAGTAGTGCAGCTCCTGGGCACTGGTGGAAGTCCCTTCAAAACCCTGACCTGCTCCCTCCTGGGTCCGCTCTGCTCCCAGCCTCCCCCTTTCCTGCCCTTACTTGAGCTGACTCGATGCTGCAGGGTGGGGTGTGTGTGTGTGCACGTGGGGTTCACAGTTGCTTATACACTTATGCAGGAATGCTAGAGCATCTCACCGCAAGCTATGAAAAGCTATGTCCTCCCCAAAGCAGGACCCCGAAGTCCTCAAAGTCACTCTACAATGGCTCAAAGGGACAGGAGAAAGGATGGTAGCCTGCTCTCACCCTCACTCCCCAGCTGGGGGTGGGGGTGGGCAGTGGGGCAGGTCCAGGGCAGCTGTCCGGGGAGGAGGCCTGCACTCACCGTCCTCCTTGGTCTGGATGTAGAGCACGCTGCTGCGCACGCCGTCCCCGGCCTGGGTGTAGGCGAGCACCTGCACGCTGTAGTTGGTGAACTTCTCCATGCCCCGCAGCTCCACCCGCTCCCGCGTGGTGGTGATGTTCTGCATCTCACCCCACTCTGCGGAGACAAGGGGTTGGCCTCTGAGGTTGGCCCAGCCCTGCCCGGCCGTGGCCCCTGCTGCTGCCTATCTGCCTGGGCTCCACTCACACCCGCCCCACTGGCTTAGAGCCTGACTCCACGGCGGCCAGGACTAGAGGGTCCTCCCCCTCAAGGTACCTGAGAGCAGGTGTGCGCCGCTGCCCCAGGACATGTCTCTCTCTAAGTGGCCCAATGAAGGGCGAGGCATGTATGCTGGCCTGGCCCCGGCCTCTGGTTGACCTTGTACCAACTTGAACTTGATACTCACCCTTTGCAACATCTCCATTTCCCCATCTCTGCAAGCAACGTTTCTCCCTTCTGCCACCCAACCCCCTTGCCATGGGAGAGCCCATTTCTCCTGCTGCCCAGCCCCGCCTTGGGCTGTGGGCCTCCTTCAGCAGTGTGTCAACCCAGGGGTGAGTTGTAACTGGCTGAGGCTGCCTCCCCTGCCTCTGACTGCTCCTGGGCCGGCGCCCTGGCTCTCAGTATAAGGGGCTAAGAGATCCATCAGCCTTCTTCCCACCACTCTAGACACCCACCCGTTCCCTGCAAAATCCTGCCCAGAGAACCGGGGCCAGGCTGGTGGAGCTGACAGCCTCAGCCAGGAAGTGCCAGGCCATTCTTCAGGCTCAGTGAGGACCCATTATCCCTGCCCTGCCAAGGAACTTCTTGTCGATTCCAAACAGGAGCTTGGGGATGGGGCCTGCTGGGAGGGCCAGGGTCATAGAATAAGGAAAAGAGACAGACTCCTGAGCCTCCCACTGGGACTATTGGGCTTTCAGAAAGACAGGCCCAGACACTGTCTGAGGACTGGCCTTGGAGAGATGACTCACTCCCAGCACCTTGCTGGTGGCCCTGTGCAGGCTAAGGCCCAAGGCAGAGGGCCTGGCCTGGGGTGGCAGCAGTCTGCCAGGGATCAGAGGGTGAGTAGGCCACACTCAGTGTGAGGGACTCCAGGTTGGTGCAGGAGGAATGTCAGAGGCCTGAGCAGCAGGGCCTTCCTTCCCTGGAGATCAGATCCACGGCAGATGGTGGAGGCTGGAGCCAGGAAGAAGGCAGCATGGCCAGCAGTCCAGGTGGTCTCTGGAGATTAGCAAGGCCAATAGCTTCCCAGGGGCTAAGCTAAGGAAACCCTTTACTCAGCTCAGCACAAATATACATGTAGTAAAGTCACCTTTTGAGCAGTGTGGTGTGGCATCTCACAGCAAAAGAACTCGGGAGAACTTCAGAGACCCTGAGCTAGAGGCCTCTGCTTTTTGCAGGACACAGTGGGGACGGTGGTGGGGAAGACACTTCCTATTGGCAGAGGTCTGGGAAGAGCAGGACCCAGGTGGGGAAGGGACGGTAGCAGCTCTGGACAGGTGAGCTGGGTTCTCAGGTTCCCCGGGAAAGAAGAGGGTGCAGGGGTCCGGGAGGCAGGAAGCCCGGGAGCGGGGGAGGCAGACTCATGGTAGCCCCCTATGTTCTGTTGAGATGAGGAAGGCCTTCAGTGGAACATTTCCACAGTTTGGGATGCTGGGCCCTGGGCTTGTGTGACATTGCGTGGCCTTCTGAAAGTCTTTGTGTATGCCATTGGGCAGGAGCCTGGCATGTTTGTGGGGGGCTACCCAAACCTGCCTACATCGGCACATCCCACGGTGACAAAGACACCCAATACGTTGGGCCACTGTATTGGGTTTTCTCCACTTGCCCCAGCACCATTCTGGCCCCAGCGCCACAGCATGTGCCTGTCTCCGGTCCCGGGTAGCTCGCTGCACAATGACATGCCTTGTGTGTGCCTGGCTGCAGCGGGCTGGGCCAAGGGAGGCTCTGCCTGGTTCTGGCGACCCTGCTGCCTCTCCTGCCCTTCAGGCAGTGCTCCTCCCAGGCCCCCACTCCTCTGGAGCAGTCCCTTCACTAAGCTCCGCCGTTGCCACATCCTGGCTGATGGGGCTGTAGGGGCCTAATATCAGCATGTTAAATTAGAAAAGCAAATATGTCCCTACTGTGCCCTAAATAACACCCCAAACCTGCTGTAGTCTAGGAGTGGCTGGTGTCTCCTCACCCCTCACCAGAGACACCCTTGTCTGACCCGGGGCATGTGCGAGTGGACCCCAATTCCTCCCTCACCATCCCTGGCCCTTCTAACCATCATCCCCCTCTGTGACCTCCACACGTGGACCACGGGGGACACTCCACTGCACCTGCACCCCGTGGGAAGACGCTGTCTCTAAGCCAGGAAGCAGACCCCGCCAACCCTGTGCCTCTCACCCGAGACCCAGCCAGCAGTCCCGGCAGACTCACCCCCATCCACGTAGAGCGACCAGAAGATGACCCGATAGCCTTTGAGGACACCATTGAGGGTGCTGCGCGGGGGCTCCGACCAGGAGATGACGGCCACGTCGGACGTGATGGACAGGGCCCGGACGTTCTCGGGGGGCTGGCTGGGCACTGCATGGGGTGGGGGACAGCCAAGGGTCCAGTCAGACAGGGGTGGGAGTGACAGCACAAAGTACATGTCCCAGGCTGGGTCCTGCTGCCTAACTAGAGGTGCATCCAGGTAGACAAGTGGAGGGACTTCCTGACTCAAGAATCCTGAGAACTGGGGCTAGGGAGCTGGGAAGTGAACCAGGTGTGCTTTCCTGGAGACTGGGAGACAGAGAGCCTTGCAGACTGTGGCTCCTTGTTCTCCGGGGAGCAAGTTCCTGGTTCTGGTCAAATCCTGGGAAGAAGGTGATGAGCTCTGGCGGGAGCCCCTGGGAATCCAGGGGAACCCCCCTCCCAGGGACTCGTCAGAACCTGGAAGACCACCAGGCTGGCCCCAGGGGTATCTGCAGTTCTCTGTCTTATTCCACGGCTGCCAGCCCCTCTGTGTCATCTGACCAGGGATCTAAGCCATGGCCCGTCTCTATGGCCTCCTACGTCCTTGTGCCAAGCTGAAGGGGAGAGGAGGATCTCAGTGAACCCTGGTGCAGGGGAGAAGCGTTGCCACAGAGACCTTTAGGGCTTTGGAGGCCATTCGTCCCACCTCTGTCCCTGCCCCTGTACACAGACATGCCAACGGGACTGGGATAACGGGAAAACACTCCCCAGGACCAATGTCAGGGGCCACCCTGCCTCCCACCCTCTCCCTCCGAGATCCGCCTTTGCATTGAACCTTAGGCCCAGCCCCCAGCCTGGCCGGGTGCAGCCTGCCCCTTCTGAGATAGCAGACAGCGGGAACGCCAGGCCCCAGGCCCCATCTGGGCTAGGGAGAATGTGGGTGGCACTTCCTGCTGGCTTTTGAGGAGCCAGGGACAAAGCAAAAGACAGAGTCTGTTTTTCTCTGAATGGGAGAAAGAGGCACAGGCTGGATGGAAGGTAATTAGATCCCGTTGCCCCACAAGAGGCAACTCTAATTTTTATGAGCATTTAAATGATAATACATCATCCTAACGATCCTCTTTGAGAATGATTATTGTTTCATATTACTTAGGTGTAAAAATATAAGCACCATGTAATTAGGGACCCAGTGTAATAAACTAATACAGATCGCCCGTTCGAACAAAATGAAGGTAATATAATTATGGAAAAGACACTATTGCTAAAGCAGGGGCCCTTGAATACCCCAGGAGGAGTGCTAATATTGCCAGGAAACGATCAGGATCTGACAGGCTAACGAGGGCCTTAATTAAGTATGAAAAACTGCTGAGCAAATGCCGCTGGAAACTTTCTTCCCCCTCTCCTCCTTTGTTTTCAGAATGACTCTGCAGCCACACTCATCTCTCCCTGTTGGAAATTCCAGCCCCCCCACCCCCCCGCCCACGCAAGGCCAGGCAGGCGGTGTTCGGTGTTCGGACAGAGGCCAAGGGCAGCTGGGCCTGGCTCGTCCCTGGCGCGGCCCCCAGTGGACAGAGGCTGGGTTAGGGCAGCTGCTGCCCGGGACGTGCCGCCCAGGGCATCCTGCATCCAGCCTTGCTCCAGCCAAAAGGCTGAGCACAGGGGAAGCAGGAAGAGTATAGGATTCAGGGTTGGGCCTGGATTTTGATCCAGATTCTGTTATTTACTAGAGAGGCGACCCTACACAGGTTACCTAACCTCCATGAGCCTCTGTGGACAAGGACACAGCTGCTGTGCTGTGGCTGTCCAAGGTGCTGCCTGGGAACTTACTAGAAATGGAACTTTTTTTTTTTTTTTTAAAGAGATGCGGTCTCGCTATGGTGCCCAGGCTGGCCTTGAACTCCTGGACTCAAGTGATCCTCCCACCTCAGCCACCGGAGCAGCTGGGACTAGAATACGGATTCTCGGCCCCAACCTCAGATCTGCTGAAGCAGGAGCTCTGGGGCCGGGCCCAGCGATCTGCATTTGACAGACCTCCAGGAGGTTCCGATGCGCACGCAGGTTTGAGAACCACTGTGTTGGCGTGTGCCTGAACGAATGCTGCCAGTATTAAGAGGTGACAAGCTGATCTTCCTCAACCCAGCCAGGCCTGTGGCCAGCACCTCAGGGTGGGGCGCCGAGGGGGACGGTGAAGGTCGTGGCTGGGGGGCTGGGTGCAGTGCAGCTCTGGGCCGCCCCCTGGGCTTTTCTGTGCCTTTCGCCTTGTTTGTGTCCTTCCTTCTTCTCAGGGGCCCAGTGCTCTGGGGCTATGGAAGTGTACTCCATCTCAGAGCCCAGCCTGTGCCCCGGAGCACTGAAATGAGACTTTTTGGGGATGACGCCTGGGCATCAGTATTTTGAAATCTCCCTGGACAATTCCAACTTGTAGGCAAGGTTAAGAACCGCTGGTGTGGGCTAACCTACTCTCAGGTGTTTCTGACCTAGTGTGTCCTGCCTCCATGTCCCCAGGGCACTGCATTTTCAGAGAGGATGAGGTGGGGCAGTTGCGTTGCTTCATCTAAGGAACAACTCTCTATTGGTAGAATGCTCAGTGTCTGAACAGGCACAGGGCTATGGCTCCCGCTCTCGGGCAGGTGGTCCCTCTGTTGGGGGTGGAGTGGACAGGCGCAGACTCCATGGAGGGTTTTAATCTCAGACCCTAGTTTTGGGTTGGGGCATCAAGAAGGAAGCTTGGAAGAGTGCTCTGCTCTTCAGGGCACTGTGACCAACCTGGCCCCATCTCTGGGGGCATCAAGGCCACCTCTCCTCTCTCTACCTGGCGCAGGCTCAGGTACCAGCTGGTGTCTTCTCTGTGCTTGGAGAGAAGGCATGTTCCTGCTTCCTCCTAACCCTCTCTCCCTGGAGAGACTGGGCCCCTCCATTTACTAATCAGATTGTAGGGTCCTCTCTAGTCATCAAAGAATGAAGTTTTAAATAATTGGGCTCTAAATCCTCTCTCACATGGGTGATGGGATTTCCTAATGCCACAGTCTCATCTTGGGTCCTTAAAACAGATGGGGGATGGTTCCAGCCTAGAATACAAAGGAAACTTGGCTTCTGCCCTTTTCCCAAGAAGCTGTCCAGGAGGAGAAACAGGACCCAGGGAGTAGAGGAAAGAGCCTGGGTCAGAGAGATGGGTTAGGGTGCTAGGAAGAGGGACAAGCATGGATGGAGAGAGACAGGCCAACCAGCCAACAGAGGGCAGAGCATCAGCAGGTGACGGACAGTCTGCCAATGGACTGAGAGGCCCGGGTGCTGAGTGGAACCAATGGGCAGGAGGAGATGGAGGGGACCCAGGGAGCCCGTGTGGACCCCAGGCCAAGATGGGGCCCAGGCGCAAGTGGAAGGACCCACAGGCCCTCCCTGGCAGCCCTGGCTCTGCCCATAGCTGGGGTCTCTACCCCCTCCCCTCTGCGGGAGCCCTCACCATCCTCCAGGGTGGTGGCATTGATCTCGCTGGAAGAGGGCCCTGTGCCAGCCCGATTGAAGGCCTGGACCACCACCCCATACTGGGCAAACTTCTTGAGGTTGTCCAGGGTGTAGACCTCGCTGTCCCCAGTGGCCTTCATCTCCACGATGCTGTACTGCCCGTTGCTGCCAGGGCTGTTCTCCCTGTAGCCGATCTGGTAGCCCCGGATGACGCCGTTCTGCAGCTCCTTCTTGGGCGCCTGTGAGCACAGAGGAGGTGGGGGGGGGACAAAGACATGGGCACGCTCTGAGCTGGTGCTCTGAGCTGGTGCTCTTCGACACTACAGCACGCTGGCCTCTGCTGCTCACACCAGGCATGCGCACTCCTTGGGGACACTCCTTCCTCGGATAGCCACGCTGCTGCCCCCTCGCCTCTGTTGTCTCCTTGCTGGGACGCCCCCTTCCTAACGAGGCCTTCCTCAGCTCCTTCTGTAAGATCACTCCCAACCTCTCTCCAGCACTCTTAATTTCTCTTCCGGGTTTATTTTCCTCTACGGCACCCAGTGGCATCTGACGTTCTACATATTTGACTTATGCACTTGACCGTCTGCCCCTGCGAGAACGTAAGCACCACGGGGACGAGGAGCACTGTCTGTTTTGTTTACTGCTGTCCTCTCTGTCTAGAGTGGGGTCTGGCATACCGCAGAATGAACGAATGAATGAATGGACAGGGATATCATTGCATGGGCTCAGGGACCTGGGAGAAATGAAGCATCAGACAAAATGTAATCAGATGGAGAGGAAGGTGAACAATTAGTTTGAATAAAAACAGAGTCCTGAGACACCACTTCACATCCATTAAAACGGCCATTATAAAAACAACAGAAAATAAGTGCCATTGAGGATGTGGAGAAATTGGAACCCTCGCACATGGCTGGTGGGAATGTAAAATGGTGCAGCTACTGTGGAAAACAGTCTGGCAAGTTTCTCATAAAGTTAAACACAGAATTATCATCCAGCAACTCTACTCCTAGGTCTATACCCCAGAGAATTGAAAACAGGGATGCAAACAGATCCTTGTACACCCCCCGTTCATAGCAGCATCATTCAGAACAGCCAAAAGGTGGAAGCAGCCCAAGTGTCCATGAGGAAATGAACGGATAAACAAAATATGGTCTATCCAAACAATGAAACAGTATTCAGCCATGAAAGGAGTAAACTTCTGACATATGTTACAACGTGGATGAACCTTGAAGACGTAAGGAAAGTGAAAGAAGCCAGACACGAAGGGACCAATGTTGCATGATTCCACTTATAAGGCACCTGGAATAGGCAAATTCGTAGAGATGCAAAGTAGAATAGGAGTTTCCAGGGGCTGGAGGGAGGGGACGTGGGAAGTTAATGTTTTACGGTTATAGAGTTTCAGTTTGGGATGATGAGAAAGTTCTGGAAATGGCTAGTGGTGATGGCTGCACAACATCGTGAATGTGTGTACTGCCACAGAACTGCCCACTTAAACATGGTTAAAATGGTAAATTTTATGTTATGTGCATTTCACTACAACTGAAAAAAAAAGTCCTTGACTTTCACCTGGGTGCAGCCCCTCCGGGAAGGCTCAGGCTGGGCTGGGCCCCAGACACCACGGCCAGGGGCTGGGCCTGGTGAGGGCTGAGGCTGAAGCCAGCCCCTAGACGGGGGGACAGTGAAGGCGAGGACATGGGGCTCAGAAAGCAGGTGGTAGGAATGAAGGACAGATCCCAGCCAGTCAGGCAAATGGAGAAAACGCTAAGGCCATCAGTCTGGGGCTAGAAAACATACTGTCACCCTGTCACTCCAGGGTCAAACCCTGGTGCACACCCAACCAGACACACACACAGATGTCCCAAGAGAGAAAACATCGACACATAACCACCTACTGACACGTGACGTGCTCACACATGACCACACACACACACACACACACACACACACACACACACAATCTCGATATGTCTACTTGTGTCCAGAACCGGGAACACACACATTCAGAGCCATCAAAGCAAACATCCTAATCCACACATCTACCCTTGGGTAGATATGTTTCTAGACCCACAAATAGAAACTGGCTCCTTTAATGACTGGGCCTGCCCATCTATAAATTGAGACACAACACCCACCCCAGTGCATTTAAAAACAGCTTGAATCAGGGTTTTAAAAACAATGAAGTTAATTTAAAAGCCTACCTTTTATTGTACTAAAAAATAGTAAGATCAAAAACAATTAAGTTAGTAAAACAGCCTTACTAGGTTTTTTTTTTTTAGTCAATGAATGTTTTAAATGAACTGCATTTTAAAGCTCACTGTTAACTCAATAAAATGAAGTTTTTAATTTAACATCATTGTTTTGAACTCACTAAATAGGTGTGTGTGTGTTTAATTGACTTGGCTTTCTGTTGCTGCCTGAATACTGTTTCTTTCTCCACTTGGGCAGCCCTGCTTGCTTGCCTGTAAGTGGGCAAATGTCTGCATTTGGGTCTATATCTGCACACGTGTGCCTGCACACACTCTCACACACACGGACGCCTGGCATAGACACAAACGTCTCTTCAAGGGTCTGATACCTTCGTCTTTACACTGACAGCTACATTCTCATGTTACTTGTATACATATCCATACTGACACGCATTGATATGAACATCATTATACAATGACACACATATCTACATACCCAGAGCTATCTACACCATCATATACACCTGTACACACTTCCACATCAACACATACTGAGACTTTGGACAATCAGGTATACCCTGATATCTATATCTATATCATCTATATCTATATCTATCTCCCCATATTTATATAAATCTCAACAGACCTTCCTCCCTCCCTCTTCTCTATTTTTCTCTTCTCCTGTCTCTCTCTCTCTTTCTCCTCCCTTATCCCCCCCCACAACAGACACACTTAGGATTTAAATCAATCTTAACAATATTTCTCTGAAGCATTAAGAAATCAATAGGGATGATTGCAAATTTATGTCATAAAGCAGGGGCGATCCATCTCGTGGAAAGAGTCTTAAAATGAAGTGACTTATCTTCAAGTGAATCTTTATTTTTCATTAATCTGTTTCTCAGTGTTAAAAAAAAAATCCCTTGAGAAGTCAACCTAAAATTTATTGACCGGCTGGTTCATTCTGAAGTTCTAACTTTCTAATCAATTTTATTTTTCATTATGAGACTTTGGAGAAATAAATCTGATTCTAAATTTTTATCGACCTCTGGGTCAGAGCTTTCTAGCCAAACGTCTCGGTATTTTACATACTTATTCGTGTCCCTGCCCTCACCTCCCAGCTTCCTTGGAGTATTTCCCAGGAAATGGGTCCAGAGCTAGACTTGGGGACAAGGCAAAACTTGGGGATCGGGGTTCATGCTTCACCCCCACTTTCTGAGAGGCACCCTGGAGCCCATCACTGAATCTGAAGGGGAACCATGGCTCCAGGCATTTACTGGGTAGGCTGCTCCCAGAAGAGACCAACTGCCCAGCCCCTGCCTCACTTTCCTCCTGGCCATTTCTCTGGGAGGGAAGGACCCAGGCTGCTGCTGCTGCTGCCATGTGTGTGTCAGGGGTGGGTATGGGAGGTGGGGAGAGAAACAGAGCGTGCGCGCGTGCACCCACATTGTCTTCTTATGGAAATATCACGAGGTCCTTCTGAATCTCCCCCATTCTCAAGTCTACCTTTCTGAAGAGCCTGGAGGAGGACCAAAGCAGCTGGGCTTTTCCTATCCCGAGTTAGAGTCAGAAAGTGACCTTGGTGATTGATTCTCAATGAAGGTGGGAAAGCCTCCCCAGCCCCATTGTTGAGATGGGGAAGCTCTGGAGGAGCATGGATGGGCCAGAAGAATGCTCCCTGTTCCAGAGCCCTGTGCAGTGGGCTGTGGCGGGAAGACTGGGCTGGGGCTCTAGACGCTGTGTTGACCCCTACTCGTGTCTCTATCTGAATGACTGTGGGCAAGTCACCTCACAGCTCGCTCTGCACCCACCACCCCACAGGAAGGGGAAGGGGATCAGGTAAGCCAGTGGAAGAGAAAGTGCTTGGAGACTGGAGGATACAGGGCAAAAGGAAGCTCCAGGATCATCTGCCCTCTGTGCCCGAGGAGGGATATGGTGACAGGGCCAGAGCTACCCAGGAAAGCAGTGATGAGTCCTGCTCAAGGTTGTTCTGCTCTGTTTCCTGCCCAGATGTGGAATGTCCTCTAAGATTTTCCTTAAGGGACAGATGCTTCAGCCACCCTCTAGATCTTACAGGTCTCTTCCCTTTGGAAATGGCTGCAGCACATACTGGGTTCTTTTCTCTGCAGCTCTCCCACTCTCAGAGGTAGGGAGGGTAGGGATTTTATAGAGGAGGAACTTTGCACAAAATCAAATCTAATTCCAACCTGATTAAAACATACAGGTTTGCAGGATGGGCCAGTGTGGTGGAAGAACCGTCTTTTCTCCTTGGCACTGCCAAGTTCACCATCCCACCCTAGATACAGGCTCCACCAGTGGGGGTTGGTGAGGGACCTGCCCTTTATGCCCCGCTCCTTATACCTGTCAAACCTCACTGAGTTTAGTGAAAAACAGGCAAGGGCATTATGTGAAACCAGAGACCATTCCTTCAGAGTAGAGGATGGGAGGAGGGAAGGAACCAGAGACCAGCAAGCTTTCTGGGAGCTTCACTCCTAGATGGAGAAGGGAGGAGGCAAGAAGGCATTGCAGAGAAGATGCCTTTGACCTCACTTACCTTCCAGGTCACTTGGATGCTCTGTGAGGTCACTGGCTGCAAGGTGACATCCATGGGGGGCCCATCGGGAGCTGGAGTGGGGAAGAAGCAACATCATGAGTCAAGTCTTGTGTTCTCACCCCACCCTCCTGAGCTGGAGGGCTCCTGGGGAGAAGCACTCAGATGCAGATAGCAGAGAAGCTTTGAGTTCCCCCGAAATGATCATAGGGTTTCAATTTCCTCTTCATTTTCCATAATTTGCTGAAAATATAGCAAACAATGACAATAAGGTACATCCAGTAGGATGGTGAATGTCTTTAAGAGTCTGATAGTCTGAAGTGTCTGCTCCATGCACAGATGTCTGGCGGCAGGAACTCGTATCCACTGATCACAGGACAGCGAAGTGGTACAATGCTTTCTAAAACATTCTGGCATTTTTTTGTTAAAGGTAGAAGTATATTCCTGTCTGATGACTCTAATTCTACAACTGCTTATATCTCTGAGAGAAACTCATGAACCTGTGCACTAACATAGAAGTACAAGAATGCTCATTGCAGTGTTTTTGCAACAACCCCAAACTATAAACAACCCAAATGTCCATTTATAGTAGAGCAGACAGCCTATAATACAGTCACGTAACAGAATACCATACAGAACTGAAAGTGCACAAATGATATAGCTATACCAATGACATGAATGAAGTTTGCAAAAATAATATTGACCAAAACATGCAAGACACAAAAGAACAGATGAAGTATGATTTCATGAATATATTCTATTGGAAAACAGGCAAAATTAAACTGTATGGCTTGCTGCACACACATGTGGTGACAGTATAAAAGAGAAAATCAAGAAAATTAGTATTGTAAAAGTCAGGGTACTGGTTACTTCACGGGGAGGGATGGGGCATGCTCAGGAAGGGGTCTTTGGAGGACCTCTGGCATGCTGAAAGTTGATGATAAGTGTTGTTTATGCTAATTATTACTTTATGATTATTTGCAAAACTGCACATAAATGTTATATGTACTTTTCTGTATTATTTTATATTTCACAATAACAAATAAAAGAAAATATAGCAAGAGAAATCTTGTTTAAACTTTCAGGAAAACTCCATGACAAAGGTTACAGAAAATGGCCCAGGGAACTAGTACTCCATCCTTTGCAGATCTGTCTTTTCCAAACAGGCTAGGGCCAGAGGAGTGGGGGAGGAGCATGGACAGCTCCCCAAAGCCCAGCATCCAGAACCCCATCTGGACAAGGGCCAGACAGAACAGCCTCCAGTGATCCAGAGGCAGACACAAATACCTTGGGATCTCCATCTTCCCCTGTTGTAACTGCAAGCTCACTGCCAATGGACAGGATTGGTGTGGGCCCCAAATGTCCCTGGTCCCCAAGCTCATGAGTAGGGGAGGCTGGGCACGGTGCTCACCGGCCTCTTCGGTGCTGATGGTGAGCTCCTTGCTCGGCTCGCTGCGGCCAATCTTGTTGAAGGAGTACATGCGGATGCTGTACACGGATGCCGGGTGCAAGTCCACGATGTTGGCCTGGTTGATGGTGGGGGAGATGTTGCGTGTGGACTGCTTGAAGTCCCAGGAATCTGGAGAGAAGACACCCATGTCAAAGCACAGCCAGGTAAACTCCAGGACCCTTCCCAGCTTCAAGCACTAGTACATCCCAATCTCAACTTGGAAGCCCAGAAGGGTCCAGTTCACACAGACTGCAGAGAGTGGGCACAGGCCTTAGTGACTTCACAGAGTGCAAGGGGTCACCCCTTGAAGCTCCAGCTTGGAAGAAACTTGACCTTCCATGGCTGCTGGCTGCATTATGATCTTGAACTTCAGAGAGGGGTTAAACGAGGGGTTTCCCAGGGTTCCTGCCAAGATTGCCATTTGCTTGCCATCCCTGAGGATCTGACTGGCCAGTGCCCTTCTTCCTGGGTCTCTCAACACATCAGTGACCTCTTCTAACTACAAAGTATCCGGTCTACCTAGTGGTCCCCATGTAAAAGTGGAAGCCAAGTCTTCTCCCCCTTCCTCCTTCTGTTTGTGCTTCTGTGTTTATTTTACTTGTGCACTTGTGAGGTAGTGAACTTGAGTGTTACATGTCAGGGTTGGTGGGGGACAGACCAAGTACCAGAGCCCCCAGCCCACACCTACCCTCTTTCTTTCACCAGCAGAATGGGCTCTGAGTCGTTACGGTCAGGGACCAACAAAGAGATTAACATGTTCATGACTTATCTGGGGGGCTGGGCAGTCCATCTCAGGGCTAGTGTTTAGCAAATTGTAGAACATGGAAAAACACCGGCTAAATGCCATTCAGGGATGCTGTGACTATCAACACCTGCCTCTCCAGAGGAATCCAGTCACTCATTCAATGTAGTTTTGCTGTGCACCTACCAGGGGCTTCCAGAGAAAAATGGGAGGGAGTGTAGTTACAGCAGTGCCTCGGCGGGGACCTTCCAAACCCAGAATTCTCAACCAAGTCACCTTTTGGGCACATTACTTTCAAAAGCAAAAGAGGCAAGGCACAAGGAAACAAGCTGATAGTAGGGCTTACAAATGGCCCCAGGGCATGTCCGGATGTCACTACTCAGTCTAATTTTCTACACCTTTTAAACCCACAGTAGAGTATCCAGAAAAATTCTCAGTAGAAAAGATTACATTGTACCCATTACAGTTTAATTCCTAAATCAGGAACGGAGGCTAGTACATTCTAGAAAGATTTTAAAGAAAAAACAATGTTTGAGCTAATGCCTGATAAATCAGGAGAATCGGTTTGCAAGAAGACACCATCCCGAGCCCCTAAATTCTGGTGACTTGAGGTCGCGATGCTCTTGAAAGCTCCACTTTCAGCTGTGCAGGCCCAGCAGACTGCGGAGGGCGCTGGCCCAGCTCCCCGTCTGTGGTTTGCATTTAATTCTTTGGGTTCATGAGCCAAAGGAACAAAACGGCAGGCTGTTGATGCACAGAAACACATTATTTTCCCTTTGTCTCATAAAACACCCCAACCACCTGGAGGGTCACTCTGTGGCTGGCAGGTTAAGCCAGAATTGCAAATAGGCAGGCTCCTTGTGGCTTTGTGAAGGAACAGGCAGCCACATGGAGGCAGGTGTCCACTTCTCTTTGTGGCATCCTGGGAGCTGGTGCCTTCTCACAAATCACATTTGATTTGCCCATGTTTATAGGAGATCGACAGTGAGCACAAGTTGGCGCATTCATGTTTGATGAGTGCAGGCAGAGGCAGGAGGCTCAGGCGGCCTGTCTGGAAACAGAGGGGCTGAGGAGAAGAGACACTAATTTTATATCTACCGTGCACCTGTGGCGTGCCAGGTGCAGCGCTGGGTGCTCTAAACGCTCACCATTTACTCCTCCCATCCTCCTGGGACACCACTGCCATATGTCCAGGGTCTAGATGACCTGTCTGTCACCAAATCCAGTTTCCCACCTGGCCTCTTAAGTGTGTTCAACACTTGGACCTCTCCCTTCGTGAAACACTCTTCCCTCGGCTCCCTGATAAGGCACTGTCTGGCTTTTCATTTATCCCTTGGGTCAGTTTTTCTTGGCCTCTTTGCAGGTGTGTCCTCCTCTATCCCACCATCAGCAGTTAAAGTCCTTTGAGGCTCCGGGCAAGGTGCTCCTTCCCTTGTTTCATACATGCTTTCCCACCCATGCTTCTGTTCCATCTATACCCAGGTAACTCCCAGATTAGTATTTTGCTCCAGCCTCTCCTTTGAACTCCAGGCCTTAGAGCCAGCTGTTTACTTGATGACTCCTCACTGCCCAAGGAAATGCTAGCCTCCCTGAAGGCAGGAGCCATGGCTAAGACTTGGGTCTTCTGCCCCACTTCCCACATGATGGGCACTTAAAACCTGTTGTTGGTTTGAAATCAGAGCCCCTTTTTTTGTCCTTTACTTTGGACTTCTGTAGTCACAGTGTGCTCTTTGCCTGTCCCTTCCTTGCCTCGCTCAGCTGCCAATCACAGGAAGGTGGGGAGGTGAATGTTCCAGAGAGAGGCCCCTTTTTTCTTACTTTGGCTAGTAGTTTGCAGGTGAATTTCACCTTGTGTTCCTAAATCATCTTTGATGTTGGCGCAAAATAGCTCTCTGCCCACATCCCTTCTAGGCTAATGCATCAGAGTCAAATCTGGAGGTTTCCAGTTGATTTTCCAAACTTGATCGCTGCCATCTCTGACCTCGAATAGCTGAAATCAGGAGCCCTATTTTCTTCCTTCTTTTTTTCAGCTCTCTCGGAGTACCGAGCTGGCTTGGCGGATATTGTCTCTTTTAATATTCCCTTTCATATGAGCCTGGCTTACCCAGATTAACATATTTCATTAAGGGCTCTCTCTCCCTTTCTTCATCAAAGGGTTTATGATGCAAAATATTCTTCTCAAAAAAATAAGGAAGTGGCTGGGGAGATGTCAGTGCCTTCTGCTCTGCAGGCTGCTTGCTGAGAGGGGACAGGGAGTCTTTGGTTTTTCAGGAGACGTATTCACGGTGGAGGGGGTGCAGCTCGGAGAACAGCCGCATCTGGAGCATTTAGCTGCCTGTGCTGGGGAAGTGGATCCATTCTGCATCTCTGATTTTCTCCTTGCACCACTGCTCGGAGTCTCCCGCGGCAATTGCTTCACAGCACGAAGAGTTCCTTGCGTCACGACAGCCCTCGACATCCCAGTGCCAGCCCCTCTCGTGGCGTGGTGCCCACAGAATGCCACTCCATGCCACGCCACGCCACCCAAGGCCAGGCCAGCACAGCCCCCACGCCAGCTTGCACCAGGAGGCCGCCTTCTGGGCTTGGGGGGCCATCCTCAAAGAACCCATCCTGCTCCTTGCTTGGCGAACAGGGACGAAATGTGGTGTCTGCATTTTTAAATCTGCACCGCGCCATCTGATAGATTTGTGTGGACGGTGCTATTTATCATTCAGCATTCATGTATTATTACTCTGCTGCCTGGGGCCAGGAGAAGTCAGCATGAGTGGGATGGCTTAGAAAGGGCAGACTTGGTAATTTCCCTTGGAAAATTAGCACGATGAGCAACATGGCAGAAAACCTGGCAAAGGCACAGTTGGGGCAAAGAAGGCGGCCAGGAGCAGATGGTCAGGACCCAGGACGGGTGTGTTCTGCGGAGGGGGAGGGGGCGGGGGAGCGGGAGCACAGAACAGGGACCGGGGGAGGTTCCATGTGCCAGGCTCGGTCCCGGGCACTTCTGCGTGTGTCATCACGCTCGCCTGACCCTTAAAACCACCCTGAGAATGACGTGGTACTGTCTCCATTTTATAGATAAGGAGACGCCCAAACACGTAAGTGCTTGCTAAAGATGGCACAGTGCTGACACCTGGTCACCCCCAGCCTTCTGCTTGAGCATGGCTCCCGTTCTGCCATTGCACAGGTGCAGGAAGGTGTGCTCAGACACGCCACACACACGCATGCGCACCCCCCTTCCTTGGAGTCATCCTCCGTTCCCTTGGATACCCTGTTCACTTCTCACGAAATGCGGTTTGTGGTGCATTACACTCGATTGGATAGTGCTTTGTAATGGTTCTGAAAGTGCGTGTGTGTGCAGTGTACGTTCTCACTCCAACTGCATTGTAAGCTCCAAGGGCAACATTCTGTCTCCTGTTTCTTTTTCTTTCCCTACCACATGGCTGGTGCATGATTCTGCAAAAAAATATTGGCAGGCAGTACATGTGGCTGACTGACAGACACACATATTTCAGCCTGCAAGTCCCACAGGACTATAAATTGCTACATGAGGTACTGGAGTTGGAAGGGACTTACATTTATTAAAAGTTTACTCTAGCCCTGTGCTAGATGCTTTCTCTTGAATCCCCCAAACAATCCCACGAGGCAGGCATTGCTGTTCCCACTTGACGGATGAGGAAACTGTGCTGCGCTCACGGTCCCTGCCTGCCTCCGGGGATGACACGCCGAGGTTCTCAAGGAACTCCTGTCCCTAAATGCCAGGGTGTGACAGACGCCTGTCTCAGGGGGAGCTGTACTAGAGCAGCCCCACCCAAAGGTAGGGGAAAGGACCGGCTGCCTACCCAGTGCTCTGGGTCCTGGGATTTATTTCTGTAAAGGTGCAAAGCCCTGTGGAAGGGAGAGGCTAGGGTTGAACTTTCATCGTCCTTCCCTCTACCCACCCCACCCTCCCTGGCGTTCCCAGCTCCAGGGTTGTCTACGGCAGCCCCTCATCCTGCAGGGGAGACAGAAGGGGCTGGGGAAAGGCGAGGACATGCTCCGAGAATAGCATCTTCCCGGCCCTCCCTTCCTCCTGCGTCCTCCCCAGACGTGTGACGGTCTCAGCATCGCCCTGCTGAGCGGTGCTCCGGGAGAGGTTTCCACTCATCAGAGAGTGGTCAGCGGAGGGGAGCGGGCAGCAGGCCAGCCTGGGGAGGAGGGCGGGAGGCAGTTATGAGGAGCAGCGGGGCGGGGGCTCAAGGACAGCCCAGGCATCCACTTCCCACCCCAGATGTGCGTCTAGACGGCACGGCACGTGCACCGCCAAGCGGAGATGTCAGGCTCTGCACCCAGCCCCGCCTGTCTGCTCCCAGCAGCCTGTGCCCAGCCTCAGGGAGCTCTGAGATGTCAGACGGACTCCACCAGCCCTCCGCTCCCTCTGCCCCTCTGTCTCGTCAGCTCTCCCCAGCTGCAGGGCTGCCACAGCCTCCTTGCTCATCTCCTGGACACCAATTTCTCCCACTCACATCCACCCTGTTTCTAAGGCGCCATGCTGCTCAGGCCTCTCCCTGGGGGCTCAGGCGACCTTCCCCAGCAAAGCGAAAGCTCAGCCTGGAGGCCTCCCTCCCAGCCGTGCCCCAGCGCACTTTGCGGCCTCGGTGCCTGTGAACTGTGTCTATGAACCCTCTGCTAGGCCACAGGCCACTCCCTGGAGTGCACCACGCCCTTGCTTGGGCTCTGCCTTCCCTGTCCCTGAGGTCCCTGAGCTCTGGGCCTGTCGCCTTTGAGTCCTTAAGACCCAGCTCGATGCAGCATGCTGGCTGCAGCCCTCCTTCTCCCCGCAGCTCTCGGGCTGAGCCCCTGGGTGGCTGCCTGCCACTAGACCGGAAGCTCCTGTGGGCGGGGCTTCTTTGTAGAAACCGGAATCAAAGAGGACCGACCCCGTGCCCGGATGGAGCTGCTTCTCTAGGGGTGACTGCAGCTCAGGGCTTTGCTTTAATGTGTCTCCCTTCAACCCACTCAACAACCATTTGCTGAGCATCTGCCCTGCGGCCGGGCCTGGCCAGCTGGGAACACAGCAGGGGTCAGGGCGAGGTCACCGAGGGGAGAGGCCAGCCCGCCAGAGGCCATGCGCCATGCCAAGTGGGAGAGGAAGGGTCTGGAAGGCTCCAGGAGAAAACACAACCTTAGCTCTGAGGGAAGACCTGGCAGGGGGAAAGGGACCAGGGAGGACTGACTTCTCCACACTCTTTTCTGTGTTTTGTTTTTAAATTTCGCCGAGAAGCTAATATAGGTTTATGGTATTGATTTCTGAAGGTAGAAAAGGATCCGGAATGAGAAGTATGTTTTCTTCTCACTCCTATTTTGACGCCACCCGGGTGCCCCTCTGGTCCCCCCTGAGGCCCGCTCCTCGCCATTCCTGCCACCTGGCCTCGGCCCAGCACGTCTCCCCGGACACTGGGTGTCCCCAGTGCTTCATGTGGCGGGGCTGCTGCGAGGAGCCCGCTGGGGCTGAGAGGGGGAGGAAACTTGCATCCAAGTTTTCTAGGCCCTCTCATCCTCCAGCGACCTATTCCCAGGAAAGACCAGCTTTCTGGCCACCACTCATGCCAAATAGGAGTGTGCAGATGACCCGGCCAAACCCACGGTGCCTGACCCCACGGAGACAGCCCACAGCCCTGGGCTCAGCGCCTTTAAATTGCTTTAAATCAGACCACCCTTGAGGACGCTAGCCCAGGACAGTCTTGGAAAGAAGGGCCCGACACGGGCCAAGCCCTCCCCGTCTCCGCCCAGCACCTACCGGACTTGTTCTTGTATTCAATGTCGAAGCCGGTGATGATGCTGTTCCCGTCGAACCGCTGGGTCCAGCGCAGGTTCATGCTCCGGGCTTTCACCTCCCGGATCTCCAGCTCGGGGGGGTCGGGGGGCTCTGGGGTAGGGTGAGGGAGGGGCAGAGGTGAGGATGACGGCAGGGAGCTTGGCTTCCTGCTGGCCCCTGGGGGTTGGTGTCACCTGTGCTCTAACCAAGGGCATGGGGCCCAGGGCTTTGAGCAGGTTGGGGGCTGGGGAAGGTCAAGGTGGCCTCACCGCTCTCTCTTGCTTGGCTTGGGGGAGAGCCCCCAACTTGCCCAGCATGACTTTCTTTCCCATACCTCCTTCAGGGGCCTGCGCCCAGGGACCTGAGTCCCCCACCCCTCCTCAGAACTGGCAAGGGACTCTCTAGGGGCTGCAGCCATCGGCAACCTTTGCTGTCTCCAGTGTGCCCGGACAGGTCCTGTCTCCCCACTCTGGGCAGGAGGGAGGCTTTTGCCCAGAAAGCCATCTCCTGTCATCCTCCCCTGTGGTGTGAGCCATGCCCCCTGCCCATTGTGGGGAGTTGGCAGTGGGCCCCCGGCCCTGGGGAAGCAGGCTGGACTGCGGGGCAGGCGAAGTACCTTGCACGGTGAGCTGGATCAAGCCCCGGTCCTCCCCGTACGAGTTGATGGCGTGGCAGCTGAAGAACACAGAGTCCCCACGGTCAGCCGGCTTGAGCTGGGAGACCAGCAGCAGGGGCAGGAGAGGGAGGAAACGGGGAGAGTGTTTTAGAGCTGGTCAGCGGAAGGGGCCACGCCTGGGGTATCACCGAGGCCATCTTGTTCTGGGAGGGGGACCCACAGGGGCTTTGTCGAGGGCTTCTCTTCCCAGAGGGCTCCAAAGACAGAAGTGAGGAGAGGTCCATGCAGGGAGGGGCTCAGGGGTCCCAGAAGGGAGGGGGGACCCCAAGGGTGGGAGGAACTGAGCGGTCCAGGAGCGGGGGAGGGGGTGAGGGGTCCCTAAGGGAGAGTGGAGCCCAGGTTTCCAGAGTGCGGAGGGCCGGGGGAACCCACATGTGATCGCCGTGGGCTGTCAGAAAGGTTCTGAGGCAGAGGTGCCTGGATGGGCAAGGGAAGTAGGTGGGAAGGGGAGGTACCTTTTGGGGCATGGGGAGGGGCTCCCGGACTCCCCATTTACCTCCTTTAGATGCAGACGTAATAGTTGTGGGCTCCCCACTCTCTGAGAGTCGGGGTCCTCGGGGACCGGGTGGGGTGTGGGCGCTCACCTTCAGCGTGGAGACCACCTCATCGCCGTTGTCCTTGGTGGCAATGGCGTACCGCATGACGCGGTCGGGGTCGATGACAGTGTCCCCTTTCTCCCAGCGGATGATGATGGGCCGCTCGCCTCGCGCCGTGCAGTTCAGCTCCTTGGCGTGGCCCTTGATGGCGATGGTGGTGTTGGGGTGCGAGGTGATCATGGCTGGGACTGGGGAGACAAGGGGGCCCAGTGAGGGGCTGGGGGCCGGCCTGGGGAGGTGCATTTGGCCCTCCGTGGTGAAGCCCCGCCCTGGCCGTCCTCCCTGGGAGAGGGTCTGATCAGGGTGGGGGCCGAGTATACGGAGCCCCCTTGCCTGTGCCCTCTCCCCTCCCCCTTCCCCAGGGGCTCTTACATTCCCTGGCCCCCTGGGGAGGCCGGTGGACGGGCTGCAGAAAGTTTACACGTGCACAATATACATAGAATTACAAAGCAAACCAGTTATATTGAAATACGGTTATGCAAATATTGAAAACATGAAAAAGCAAACTTTTGATATTGTATATCACATATCAACACGTGTTCTTTACTACTCTTTGTGGAAGAAGATCTAGTGGTTAGTCTTCCAATTACTGTCTTGTGTTACCGTGGTCTTGTAGCAGTGGTGAGCGTAAGTGATATTTTGAGATATCTGCAGGGACTGTGATAGGACACGAACACGTCTGTGGGTTTCTGTTCGTGACAGTCACAGGTGCTGCTATTGCTGTGCTCTGTTGATCATGCTCAGAATGGGAGGAAATACTAATTTTCACTGAGAGGTAAGTGGAAAAAAAGGATGTGATTGTTTCCCCCCACCCCAATTCACAGACTCCCCCCAAATCCGATCTCTGAATCTCCTGGGGGGGGTGTCTCTGGACCCCAGGTTAAGAACCTGCTTTAAGGTGCTGGGACTCTGCCTTGTCTATTGCTGGGGCTTGTTTATCCTCCTCCTGTTCCTCCAAACAAAATCCAGCGGAGAACCCTGGCTGTGCCACGGCAACTCAGATGGTCAAGAGGAAGCCCCATCCATGCGAGGGCTGATGGATCTGCCCCCGCCCCCCACTGCTGACCTGGGAAACGCCCCGTGGAGCAGCCCAAGTGCTGGCTGCTCATCAGGACACCCCTCCCACCGCCCTGGCCCCTCCCTGGGCCTGCGTCCCTGAAGCAGCGGGAGAGGAGGGGCAGAGGAAATGTGGTCGAGGGCATTGAAACCCTGTCCCCTTACCTCCACGAACACACATGGGGCACTTACGCCATCGTCAGGCCCTGTGCCAGGCTGGGGGGGGGTACACATGACAATGAGACAGAGTCCTGGCCTCCTGGGGGAGGGGGAGGAAGCTAGATCCCTGCGTGGGCACGAACATGAGCATTTCATGGAGTGTTGGGAGCAATTAACTTCTACTGAGGGGCATCTGGGGAGGCACGGTCCGGTCCGTCTCTCTGTTCAACAAGCATTGGTGAGACCTACTGTGCGCCAGGTCTCGTGCTTTGGTTCTGGAGCTAACAGTGAGCAGGACAGACGTGGTCTTTGGTCTCAGGAAGTGTCACTCCAGGGGTGGGAAGAGACAGGCACAGCAGCAATTTCAGTACAGGATGGTGGGTACCCGGCCAGGAGGAGTGCACCACTCGCATGGGGAGGACAGAAAAAAGCCCCCCAGGCAGTGGAAACTGCTTGAGCAGAGCTCAGAGGCAGCGATGTGCAGGCCATGCCCCAGGAAGGCAGGTAGGCTGATGCCACTGTGGGACTGTCCTTGTCTTTCTCTCTTCCTCACCCCCTTTCTGGGAAAACTTGCCTCTCTGAGTGCAGGTCCCCCATGGCCCTTGTCTCGGGAGGGGTGGCCAGGAGCCATGCCGGAGAACACACATGGGGAGGGGCTGTCCCTGGCGGCCAGGATCTGACACCCCCCATTCAGTGGGGGCGCCCCCTCCTCACACTGAGTTCTGCAGAGCGGAGACCAGCTCGCCCCACCCCCACGCGGGCCTGCCTGGACAACCCCGCCAAGGGGGCTCTTGTCCCCTCCCCTCAAAACCCAGTTGCCTGCCCTCTCCGCCCCTGTGGCTGCTGTCTTTCAGTGGCTGGCCCTCTGCCCCTTTTTTCCCAGCGTCCTCAGGGGTTCTCTCTCCGCCAGTCTTACAGACCCGCTCAGACAAAGTTCTTCCCCGAAAATTCTCTGGGGACGGCTGACGTTTATGGACAAATAAGCCTCTGAAGAAAGGAAGGGAGCCAGGGGCTGCGCGGCTCACAGCCAGCTACCACCCCCACCGCCTTGTCACGCAGGACGCGATGTTGAGGACAGCCCTGGCCCCAGGCCCCCGCGCCAGCCTCTCAGCACGTTCCCCGGCCCCAGCTCATCAAATAATGAAGCAGATAAATTTTATAATGCATGGCATTACACCAGGATATACAATAAAACGCGAAAGACAAATAACGAGGTGCAAGTTATAATGAAGAAAAAGCCTGCAGTCAGAGACACCCGAGTATGAATTATTGACTAAGGTTTTACACTCTCAAGGATGTGCGGAGGAATATTTTTCCATCAAAGATTTGCATAATTCACTCGTATAAACCTGGGTGGAATATAGAGTAAGATTCTGCATCAACAAGTCGGGCCTGGCATTGCAGATGCCTCCATTTTTTACCGGAGGATTGAAATGCCTGGGCGTGGGGCGGGGGGCGCCGAGGCTGTTTCTTCTCTCCTTGGGGTGAATGATCAGGGGGCAGGGGCCTGGAACCCCCGTGGGCCAGGCCCTGAGGCCTTCCTGGGGGGGGCAGGTCCTGTTCCTGAGAGGCTGTTGTGGAAGCTGGGGGAACATGTGTGGAGGCGTGTGTGTGGTGTGCATGTGTGTGCGTGCACGTGTGTGTGCGTGCATGTGTATGTGTGCATATGTAAAAAGCGGGATCACGGCAGGGTCCAGGCTCAGCACAGCTCAGAGTCCAAGGAAGGGCAGAGGGACATGGAAGGGTCTTCTTTTGGTAGGAGAACTTCACAGCGTTGTAAACCCCTCTGCTCTGTTCCCCGGGCAGGCCTGCGGGAGCCCGTGCAGGGCCTGTGTGTGAATTACAGGGCACCCTCACCCCACCAGATGCAGCCTGGTGCCAGGGGCCACCGCTTGGCCAGTGGAGCCGGCACCATGTTTCAGACCCCACTCGCCCCTTAGGCTGTGTACCTTTGAGCAGTGCACAACCTGTGTATCCATACATGCTGGCCCCACTTCAGGGAACTTGTCTTTCTAGTTAGGTTTGCTTAGAGAGACAGACGTGTGTGCAGAGAAAGCAGGGTCCCCAGAGATCCTTGGCCCCTCAGCCCTGCTGTGTGTGGTGACAACCACACCTGGGGCCTGGGGCGGGCTCCCTTTACCCACCACCACCCCCAGCCCTAGCTGGCGGCTTATTACGGCAACAAGCACCACGCAGCACAACCCAATGCTCTCCTCACAGCCCCGCAGTTCGGGGACCCCCTCTGCGGGGAAGAGGAGAGAAGGCTTGGGGGCTTGGGAGCCAGGCAGGCCTGGGTTCTTCTTCTGTCACTGCCCGCTATGCGGCCTGCAACACATTAAAGCTAACTTCTCTGGAGCACTCCCGGGGAGTGCACACGCATGCGCACGCACGCACACACACTCACTTTCATAGTTCCCTTTCACTGAGAGCTTACCATGCACTGGCAGTATTTTAAGTACTCGCGCGGGTGAACTCATCTGAGGTCGGCACTGTTATTATTCCCTGGCTCCAAAGCCTGTGTCCCCATGTATTTCTTGCTGAAGCTCTGTGGCTTCCCACGGCCCACGATGGAGCAGGCCACGGGCTGGATGCTTTGTCCCTTGGCTTATTGTTCAATGGTTCTTCCCAACAACCACCGTGAGAAGTCAGTGTGTTTAGCTCCATTTTCAAGAGAGGTAACCGAGACTCCCAGAAGGTGGTTCTCCCTCTTGCCGTCTGTCTGTGCCACCCTTGCACACAGTCTCTAGCTTTTGGAAATGGAATTTGTCTGTCACCAAAAAGGCTGTGGCCTCCGTGGGGGGCCAGTCTCCGTGGGCTACTGCTGGGGCGGCAGCAGGGACTGCAGCTTTAAGGGCACAGGCTGGAGAGCTGGGGAGGGGAGGGGGTCGTATGCACAGGGCTGAGTCCTGTGTGACAAGTGCTGATGACAGCCACGAGAGCAACACAGCATAGGACATAGGAGGCTTTAATGTACCACTCCTCTGCTTTCCTGCAATGCAAGTCCATTAGCAGCCGGGGAAAGCTGACTTCTCTTTACAAAGAGGGGTGCAGGGGAGACTTTCTGGGGACTTGGGAGCAGGGAGGGGCTGGGCACAGGGGCCTGGGGGAGCCACCCATCAATATATAACCCCTTCCCTTTAGGTGGGGAGGGGGCTTCTCTCTGAGGCCCTGGGGCAGTCCTGGTGTGAAGCAGGTCCGTCTCCAAGTTGTCCGGCCCCAGCGCCTGCTACTGTGCCTGGCACTGAGAGTGGCGAAACTGGGGCCAAAGAGGCTTTCTGATGACTTCCAGGGCCCTTGCCTGACACCCCCCATTGCATGCGGTTGCCTCTGCGTGCAACGGGCATCTCCTGCACATACGTGTCCTACTGCAGTGTCCTTGTCCCCTTGCGTCTGACCGTGCGGCTTTCCGGGCCAGAACATCTCTATTCCAGGACTTATCACGTATTTGTGGAAAGAACGAGGGCGCCCAAGCACTGGATGCCTTCCCTTCCTCCCTCCTGCACCCAGAGCAGCAGCCCTGGCCCGCAGTTAGGCTCACTCCCGGGCAGGGAGGAGCCCGGCCGGGCCGCCGGGGCTCAGGCTGCTGCCTTATAGCCGTGCAGAGATTCCAGATTTCCTCCCGCTGGTTCCGACGGGGCCTTATTGGCAGGCGCCACGGAGAGGAGAAAGCCCCCAGGGCCGGAGAAGACTCCCTCCTCCCCTTGCTCCAGGGCCCTTCCAGGGCAGCAAGCCGAGGGGCGAGGAAATCAATTTCAGAAACAAGACAGTTGTCAGAATCCGATGTAACCGGTTCCCGTCTGTGAAATTACTCGCAGGCCGGCTCCTGTCACCCCCGAGGTCCTGCCCGGACCAGCTGCTATTTACATTTTAATTTGATGTGAGAGGCTGATAGATTTTTAAATCACCACGAGACAGCTCTGCTGCCTCCCTCACCCCCAGCGTCCACACACTTTCCCACCAACCCCAGCCTGGA